ACGTACCAGCATATCCACTTTAACGCGTTTTGTGCAACCTGGGCACCCAACCAGGCAAATTCCAAGGCTTTATACACCGGAAAGGCCATAGCGCTCACTGCCATCGCAGCTGCCGAGATCCTATTCGCATGGAACCCCGCAGGTCGCCATTTGTCCTGTTGATCAGGAGAAAACACTGACTTGCAAACAAAAGCTTGGAGGAGGCACCTTCAGGAAGGAGACGTGTTCACTCAAACCATTATTTTACCACTTCTGACCTGCTCTCAAAGTTTCAACCGCGCTCGCAGGTTCTCAAACCGACCTCAACTCGTGCTCACCCCAAACTCACCCACGCTCTCACAACTACTAAGCCCATATGCCAACAAATTTCATCGGATGGTCCTTCAGTTCACGAACCGTAGGACACTCCTTGGGCAGCCCCACAGTACGAGAGCCCGTAACAATGGCAGATCTTGAGCTTCTTTCAAGCCATCATCGGATGCAAACACCCTGTTGAAGTCTTCCTTTTTGCAAGATACGGTGTTGATTCCACCCTTCGCCGCAAAGGGGTTCAGGCAGGCATAGGAATATCTCGTGTACTGTGACATACGTGTGGAGTTTTTTGATTGCCTGGACTTGTCCTGATTACATTCAGGGTTGGGAACAAACTGAGGATACAATTTGTCGGGCTTCAGGCTGTATACATGTCACACAGTTACTGTCAAATTATGGTCACGGAGTCCTGGAGGCTGTTTTCTTAATTCGAAGGTCCTGGTTCTTCAAAGTGATCTTTTGATATCCCTGTTTGAGGTCACTTGGGCCTGTAAAAGGTCACCTAGGCACTCCAAAGAGGTCACTTTGAAGAAGATGGGTGCTAGAAACATGTTTGTTGTATGATTGTGCTGTGTGTCAATGCAAACTCGATCATGGCCCTCTTGCTGCGAAGTCGAGGCACCGCGCGCATAGAAACGGACGCATTCTCTATAGAAATCCTATTTTTGGCGGTTAGTCCATCTCCAAAAGCAATGTGACAACACCGACGTCAGTCTTTTATCTAACTAAGGTGGAGTCAGGCTTGAGTGCTGGATTGAGCTGATGGTGAGTTGCGTTGATAGTTTGGTGAGCACAAATGAGTTTGTTTTGAAATGTTCTGAGCATATACATGAAGCAACCATGCCTTTAGTTCTGTTTGAGTCATTTTGGTCTACTTTGAGTAAATTTCCTTTCGGTGACCACACACACTACGAAACCCTGATCGAGGCAATTTGGTAGAGGTTGATGTTTTTTACTTTTTTGAGCGCCCTCGTCGAGTTTCTGTCGATAGTGGTTTGAGGTTCAAAAATTGCAAAAAACTCTCTCGGTAGGTGCTCGGCAAACCGTCGCGCGCTATCAAGCGATCGTCGAGTAAGCCCCGATAGCCGCGCGAGTGTGCCCCGGCATTCCTCGAGGTAAGATTGAGGGTATTTTTTTTGATAGTGTACACGTTTCGGGGCGTCCATTTGCCCCCCCTCTGGGACTCTATGATACAACATTGAGGAGCTTCTTCACCTGCGCTTGCAAACAGCAATAGTTACTCTAAACATCAAACGACTTCAGGAGGTCATTGCAGCGTGCAAATTGATTTACACAAAGGAAGTGTGGAGGCGTCTGATAGCAACTGAACCCGGAGTTGGCGGAAGTGGATGGACCGCGATTCTTGCGACGGGGCCTTCACCCCCAGCTTTTGTGGTTTCTGAATGTGTCCAATATCAATCTCTTCCGAGGAACATCAGAAGCTGAGGGAAGGACGCCAATTTCCGGCAGCAATGCTTGTGATCCCTGCTTGGGCCTTGAGTTCAATGTTGGCGGCTCCTGCGCAAGGTCATGCAACCCGTTGCCACTGCCGCCACTTGTTCGCCTTGTTCTTTTTTTTCTCTCTCTCTCTCTCTCTCTCTCCCTCTCTCTGGCTTCTATGACTCTGTATGCATTCTGTTAACGTTGCAGCCTCTCTCTCTCTCTCTCACGGCTGCTTTTCCTTAGGAAAAGTATAGAGTATGCAATCTTTAGATGTTCAGTGGGCTAAAGTTGGTACGTCCAATGCCTCCATCAATGTAGTCGGTGCCTTCGAATGTGGTATTGTTTCAGCATGCGCACGTTTACAGTACTTGTAGCATCTTGTAACACTATCTCGACTGGTAACTTGAGAGGCCTCAGGGGCTTGGTGACGCGGAAAGGAAGCGGCCTCATTTCTGAGAAAACAGGCATGAGAGAACACAAGCTTGAAAGCACACATAAAAGAGCACACGTGAGAGAGCACACACACAAACACACAAACACACACGAGAGCACATATATGAGAGCACGTATTTGATGACAATTTGCACTTCGAGGTCGACAAAGTGCTGTGCCTGCCACGAAATCTGCACATCGAAGTAAAACGGCTCAAATCTCGACCACACAGGAGGGTTCCCTTGCGCTTGCCGCGAAAAGCCGCCACCAAGTCCGAAAATGTGCACGGCGCCGCGAGCGAGTTGAAACGCACTTCGAAGATCTTGAAAGATCTGGAGAGATCTCATAGCATCGAATTGGCCGCTCAGGCCGGTAAGCACCCTCGATCAAACCCAGCCTCAACACTTGCAGTAAGAACCGAAAAAACAACCCTTGCCTCATCCACAGCATCTTCGTCTTGCATTTGGCCAGAGACTTGCTCCTCTTATTGCCGCAGTCCCGGAGTGTCACAAATCCAGGTCCATGTTTAAAGTTGTTTAAGATGTTTAAGCATTTGTTTGGACCGTCTATCAGTTTAGCTTGAAGAACAAAGTTGCAAGTAACTACATCAACATTGCAGCGGCCTGCTCGTCAGCAGCAGGTTCGTCCACAAGTTCTTCCTAAAGCATATGCTAGCTGCTAGAAATCACATCAAAGACTGCCACTTAAACTTCTGGCTGAAACTCAGAGCCCCTAGAGTTTTGTTTGAACTACGTTGGTGAGAATCCTTGCGCATTAGTTGCACCCACAAGCGCGCCTCCAATACTGCTTCTGGATCATAAGCTTCGCAAGAAACCTCTCCCTGCGACCACTTATGAAACGAAGAAGAACCCATGCGTGGGTATTACACCAAACATGCACACTCTGTTTGAATAGCTCAATCTAGGATGGCCGTTGGTTGACACGGGCATCAAAATCGTCCCAGGTGCTAACAAAAATGCGGAGCCAATGGATTTTGTTTCACTTGCCTGTTGTCTCAAGAAATAGCTAGTTAGCTTGAGACATGTTTTTGAAAGTACAAGAAAGTACTGTAGCATTCTGAACTAGGTGTCCACATTTCAGGGGTCTACTTTGTTTCAATGAAACATGAGCACCAAGGGTCGGTATATACTTTGCAGTTCCTCCCTCTTTGCTGTTCCTCCTTTGTAGTCTTTTGACACAGGTCCATCATGGACGTCGTAGGTGGACATCCCTACCGCCAAGAGAAGGAACTTCGCTGGTTCTGTTCGGTTTGAGTGGGTTAACGTGGGGGGCCGCAGCGGTTCTAAAGAGGTTCCCTCCCAAATCATTCTTGCGAAGACAACCATACTGTCTATGTCGAGGAAAGTCTCATCAGATCTTGTCCTTCATTATCAAGTCTATTGGGATTTTGTCATATCAGGGCGAGTCAGCATTCGTTTGGGAGCCTATCTTGGAAAGCAAACATCTCAGGGAAGGTGTTTCTAGAATCACATTCCACTAGATCATAGCTGAGCTCCCGGGAGATATATCTGGTGACCGGAACCTTCCCAGCAACATAGTGCGAGTGGTTTGAACGAAGGAACAACCCTTGCCTCATCCACAGCATCTTCGTCTTGCATTTGGCCAGAGACTTGCTCCTCTTATTGCCGCAGTCCCGGAGTGTCACAAATCCAGGTCCATGTTTAAAGTTGTTTAAGATGTTTAAGCATTTGTTTGCAGGGCGGCCGCCCATGTGGGGGCGCTTTTGCGCCTGACGCTGCCTCCGTTTATTGCCGCGGTGTTGGGAACTCGTTGGCGCCGACGCTCCTTTCCCCACTGACGCCGCATTCCCTGACGCCGCTTCCTGGTCTGACAGCGCATACCCCCCTGACGCCGGCTGTTGACGCCGCATTCCTTGACGCCGCGTTCCGGTCTGGCGCCACATACCCCCCTGACGCCGCCTATATTGACGCCGCATTCCCTGACGCCGCGTTCCGGTCTGACGTCGCATACCCCCCTGACGCCGCCTATTGACGCCGCATTCCTTGACGCCGCGTTCCTGTCTGACACCGCATACCTCCCTGACGCCGCCTATTGCTTGGATGGGCTGGGTCCTTACTAGTGGTTTAACATGTTTAACCTTGTCTAGTAAATATATGTTAAGAGGCAGTTAGAAATATGTTAGTATTATGTTAAAGCACTGCTAGACAACTAACATATTTAAGACCTTTAGCTAAAAGTTATAACTTTTAGCTAAGTCTACTTAATTATGTTAAAAGTTTTAGAGGGTTAGCAACTTTTGCCACCTTTAGCTATGGCTTTTGAAAACTACATTTTTATCGACAATCGGATCATTATTCATTGATGATTTATATTCACAAAATGAAACAAAAGTACTGATTTGGAAACTTTTATTGCTGCTTTTTCTATTTTAAACTGAAAACCTCTTTGCCTGAAATGTTGAGAGCCTTCATGGCTACTAGCCTTTATGGCTTCCTGTGTTTGCAAGCCTGCATGGCTAACATTGCCAGCCTCTACATGGCTAGCCATTTCATTGTTGCAAGCCTTTGTGGCTTTCTGCGACACACAAGCCTTTGTGGCTGACACATGTGGTGGCTGCTTAGTGCAAGCCCATAGTGGTTGCTCATTGTAAGCCCATGGTGGCTGCTCTCTGCGTGTATGTGGACATGTTGGACAACAATGCCTGGTCAACTGTGCACACAGCCCATGTTCAAGCAGAGGCAAAAACATGGTCATTGAGCAAGCCATGTCAATTTCTACAGTAAGTGTTGCATTGCTATTGGCTTTCCATCTGTGCACCCATTGCCACTGCCATGGCTGGCATCGCACCTGGAGTGGTTGATGAAGTGAACTCCATCATAGATGATGACAGTTTTCCCATACTGCAGAAAGTAGACAAGATCTTTCATACCTTGAAGGTCAATGGCTATGGATACCACCAGACTGTTTTGCCAAAGGAAACACTGACCCACCCTAGCAATAAGGGAGGAAGCATGCTGAATGCAACTGATGTGTGGGAAAAGGGCTTGAGAATGCTGAAGGTTGGAGTGGCACCTCAACTCCTCAATGAAGGTGCTGTAGCCTTTGAGCTGGCCACTGACAAGACCATGAGAGAACAGCAGGTGGCTGCCAATGTGAAGCTTGTCAAGGCCTCCAACAACACACTGGCTAGTGTGAATTTCCAAGAGAGATTCCTTACTGTTGCCACATCCCACACCGCTGCATTTTGCAAGGCAGTGGAGCAGGGAGTGAAGCCAGGTTTGGAAGAGGCCACCACAATTGATATGAAGCAAGACCCTGGCTTGCAAGCTCTTTGCACTAGTGGTTGGCCATTTTTTGTGATGCGCAGTGCAGTGGAGATCCAATGGCCTGAGCTGCCCAGCTATATTCAATCTGCATTGAATGTGGTGAACAACTCCTACCAACAAATGACAGAGATTGAAGCTGCCAGCCAAATGTGCCAGTTCCTGAAACATGGCCTTGCATTGCCAGATGCTTTGGCAAGGGTTGAAGAATGTGACCCAGTGTGCAAAAGGTCATTGGAAGCAATTGCGTACTATGTCTCCAAGTATGCAGGTGAAAACCAGAACATTATTGACTTCCTGGCGCAATTCAGCAGCTTGGCTTGAACCTGTTGGATGTTTTGGGTGTTGAAGGCTGCAGTGGCTAGTGTTGCAAGCCTTCAGTGGCTAGTGTTGCAAGCCTCCATGGCTAGCCCTTCTGTTGCAAGCCTGCACTGCAAGGCTAGCTTTGGCACTTAGCAAGCCTGCTTGGCTGCATGGCTTTCATTGCTTGAGGCAAGACCTATGGAACATTGCTGCTTGGAGAAGATATGATGAAGGGTATTGCTTTCCTCGAGCTGAAGGACTCCACCTCCATGTTCACCTTTCTGAGGGCTGCAATGTTGCTTGGCTTGGTTAAGCATATGTCCACAATGTTCTCCAAACTCTTCTATAGAGGCTTCTGCTCGTGTAAAAGAAAGATAGCAATGAAATAGTGGTTGCTTCACATTTGAGGTGGTGCACAATGATGTCCAGCGACAAAGCCCAAGATGGGTACTCCAAGCTCTTGACCAAAGCAGATTGTGAGAGGTTGAAATCAAAAACATTGAAGAAGGAAGTGGAACAATGTGAGCAGCTTGTTTGCAAGTTTTTTCTGCTTCACTATTTGCAACAAAAAGTTTGTTAGGTTTGTCCTGCTTCCACTGCACTTGCAGGCAGATCTTGTCAGACTCATGGGAGCTAATGCAAAGTTCCAAATCAGAAGAGGGTATCCAAGTGAAAGCCTTTGGTAAATTATGTGTGAGATTGGTGCTTCATGTATTGAAGAAGGAAAAATGGGGAAGAGAGCCCCAGGGCTGGGAGAGCACAAAGGCAATTTGCGAAGCATTCACAAAGGAATTGACACTGAAGAAGGATGCCAAGTGCCCTCCTTCCAAGGAGAAGAGCAAGGTCACTGAGATTGATTTGGATGTCAAGGATGTATTGAAAAGCAAGCCTGCTGAAATTGCTTTCCTGCAAAACCCTCATATGCAGAAAAATGCACAGCTGCTTGTCCAAATTAAGCTTTGCTTGCAAAAAGTGGGTGTTAAACATTGTGTGTTTGTGTTTGTTTGCTGTAAGGTATGCATGCACCAAACAACATGGGAGCAAAGTGTGGACATTGGTGGGCACAACTGACACCACCTTTAACTTCAGTCACCAGCCCATCTTTGGTCCTGTGGAGAACATTGAAGTGGAATTTGCAAATTTAAAGGAATGGAAGAAGAGCAAAGCTGCATTGGCAGAAAGATGCGAGCCAACAGCTGCCTTTGTGCACTTTGTTGACCAATCTGGGGTTGTGAGTGTGGAGCTGCAAAGGGCACATGTCCAGAAGACATTGCTGCAGCTCTGTGTGGACAATCCTGTTTTGACAGATGACATTTTGTTCACCAAGAATCCATGCGCAGTGTACACACAAAAAGCTATCAAGAAAAAGGCATTGAAGCTCTACCCAGCTGGCACTGTGTCAATGGTGAAGGATGAAAAGCCAGATAAGTACTACATCCAAGCCTATGACAAGCTTTGGCTCATTGTGCCTTTCAAGCCTCTCACTGACTTTAAAGGTGGTGGTGGAGGTGTGCTTTGCCCTTTCTGGTGGGTGAAGTCTGCAGAGGATGGATTGCTCACTTTGTCTGAGGTGAATGTGGATGGCTGCAAGATTCCTTTTATGGTGAATGCTGGCCCATTGAGCAATGAAACTCTCTTGAGCCTGAGTGTCCCTCAGAAAGATGGAAGCAAAGAGCCACCTGCTAAGAGACAGAAGGCAAAGTAGCAGTGGACTTTGTGAGCACTGAGTCCATTGATAAAACTGTTTGCCTGCAAGTTGAGAAAAAGGGTGTTGGCTGTACTGCGCTCTGCTGCATGGTTTGCTAGCATTTCTTGTTTTGCTAGCCCTTGTGGCTATTGCTTTGCAAGCCTTTGTGGCTACATTGTTTCTAAAGCTTCTTAGCCTCACTGGCTCTGGTCTATAAACCCTTTGTGGTTATTGCTCTCTGAAAGCTTTTGTGGCTATGGCATTGCAAGCCTTGTGGCTTTACTGAAATGCAAGCCTTTGTGGCTCTGTGGCTGTGTTGTCTTTAAAACCTTGTCCACTACAAAATCATTGTGGAGACATCTGAAAGGCTATGGTTCAAACCACAGCTTGCAGAGTGAAGTGCAGCCATGGTTGAAACTAGGGACTGCATGGATGTGTGCTGGAGGGATGGCAATTGGTATTCATGGCCTGCTTCTATGTTGGAGAAGCACAATGATGTTGTTTACTTGAGAATGAGGGCCACTTTTCAAAGCTTGGTCCAATTGTTGACCAATGGCAAAGCTGGCAAAAATTCATCACTGGCAAGCAGCAAGCAATTGGCAAATCTTGTGGAAATGAGAAACCAGTCTGCCCAAATCCAAGAACAAGGTGATTTGTTTGCTGCTGAAGATGAAGGATCAGGAGAAGATAAAGAAACACATAATACTGAGCCTGCTCCTGAGCCTTCTGCAAAGAAGAGAAAGTGTGTGCCTGGTGGAGTCTACACTGTGAAAGTTGTTGTGCAGGGCACTATTGTGGAATTTCTCATGCAGGGCACCAGGCCTGCACGCTCTGACCTATTGGTGAAGCATGACACAGACATGTTGGCGGCAGTGTTTGATTACTTGTCAGTGGATGCTGAGAAGTGTTTGAATGCACCTACAAGGCAATACAAGAAAGCAAAGGGTAGCTCATGATGTCACTGCAGGATTCCTGGACACTGCGCAACGATGACACTGCTTTCATTCATTGAAAGCATCTTTCCACATGACACCTTGCTGGAAGTTGAGAAAAGGGTGTTGGCTGTGCTACGCTGTAGTGTTTGCTAGCCTTTTCTTGTTTTGCAAGCCCATGTGGCTATTGCTTTGCAAGCCTTTGTGGCTATTGCTTTGCAAGCCTTTCTGTGGCTATTGTTTTGCAAGCCCTTGTGGCTATTGCTTTGCAAGTCTGTGTGGCTATATTGTTTCTAAACCAAACCTTTGCAATGCCTTTGTGGCTATACTGTATACATACAGCCTCACTGGCCCTGGCCCATAAACCCTTTGTGGTTATTGCTCTCTGAAAGCTTTTGTGGCTATGGTATTGCAAGCCTTGTGGCTTTACTGAACTGCAAGCCTTAGTGGCTTTCAATATTGTCGACTACAAACTACATTGAGCAAACTACTGTTCACTCTTTGAGCTTGGCCCAAAAAGGAAAAGAGCTAGGTACCTGCAATGGCTACCAAAGAGTATGGTATTTTCAAGCATCTGCACACTGGAGTCAGGATGCTCATAGAGATTGGCAATGGCCAGGTTCTCACAGTGTTTGTCACTCCTAGTGGTGGTGACAGAGAAGTGATGGTCTACGACTCTGTGCACCAGCCCAATGTGCAATATATGGAGGAAATGCACACTGATCCTTGACTCAAAGTTTACTTGTATGTTACTTTATTGGTTTGAAATTGCAGTTCTGATTGGAAATTGTGTATGCAGTTCTGCTTGGAAAGTACATTGCTAAGGCAGCTGCTGCCTTTCTTGAGCAACTGAAATGCATTGATGATTTTTCAAGCTTGCCACCTAAAAGTGCATTTCAACTCTGCATGGACTGCAGGTATGTGAAGATGCGACCTGAGCTTTGGGAAATGTTCAAAGCCTACACTGTCCTTGAAGGCAGGGATTTCTTGGAAGCATGCCAAGGACCAATGCACAGCAATGTGAGGTTTATGTCAGCCAGGGCAAAGCTCTGAAAGATGTAGTGAATGAGGATGTTGGAAAAGAAATTGCCCTTACACTGATGTTTTTGTGTTTCTTTGCATGCAAGCTCATTGTGGCTGTTCTTGGTCATAAGCCTTCATGGCTAGTACAAATGCATTGTGGGTTTGGAAGCCTACATGGCTAGTACAATTCAAGCCCTAAGTGGCTAACCTTGCATGCAACCCCTCATACTTTGTTGTCATTCCGGCAAACCCATTGTGGTTGTTCTTCTTGCAAGCTCTTTGTGGCTGTTCTTCCATTCTTGCAAGTCCAAG